TAGCTCACATTTCTTTTTGAAAACCTCTGCCCGATGCCACAGGCACATGCCTTCCCCATGTCAAGAGGAGGGTGACTAAAATATAAGAAAAGCAGCAGCTGGGGACACTCTTGGAACCAGAAGGGTCACACGGCAGCCCATGTCACCCGAGAATCACAGCCTAAAACTCATAAGCCTTCCTGTATCTTCAATTTATTTCTGAATCTAGTTTTATTTTTTTAATCCTAATTTGATAAAAGATAACATGCCCACACACATTCACATCTACCAAAAACACACCCCCAAATGTACTTCACCTGTGCTCCTTCTATTGCTCCTCTGTAAGAAAAGGGGGGAAGAGGTCAAGGAAAATACTGGAACAGGAAAACACTGGCTAGTCCTTAATGAGCTTTTGCATTGTCTAGTACAGTGGCTCTCTAGTTTCCCTCAGCTTTCCTAAGTATTCATCTGCCTTTCTGTCTCTGTATTTGTCTCTCCTCCCTCCCTTTGAACAAATGGCATGTTTTGTTTTTTGGAGAGGTTTTTGCTATAGGGCATGTGCCCTCGCCAGAAAGACAGAGAGAGACAGAGAGACAGAAAGACAGAAAGCAAGAAATCACCCCCAGGGGGAATGGCCGCACTGCAATCCCTTCTCCTCTTGGGATCTTGGGCACGCACGCACATGTGCCCAGTATGCGTTTAAGCTGCCGGGTCCGGGACTCGAACTGCGGTCGACTACATGGGACTCCAGCAACATAGCCATTATGCCAACTGCTGGTCCCAACAAATGGCATCTTGAGAGGCTTTTTCTCCTTTTCTCTCTTCTTCCTTTCCCTTCACCTACAATAATAAGCAGGATGAACCTGTCGAAAAATCAGCAATTTACAGTGGCCAGACAAATTGGTGCAGAGGTCAAACATCCCTCAGAGAGATTTCCCACATGGGAAGGTTCCTAGTTCAAGTACAGAGAACTCTGAGAACACCCTGAGAATTCATGCCTGGCACATGCATGCCCGTGACCTGGGGCTGGTTGGAAGATAGAGGCAGACTGTAGCATCAAGATCCTATTGGGTGCACTGTCTCTCTCACCCTCTCTCTCACACACTCGTGGAAGAAAAAATAAACAGAGTCGAAAGAAATAAATCAGGGGTCAGCAGGTGGCATGGTGGTTAAGGAGCTAGACTCCCACATGGAGGAATACAGTTTGAGTTCTGGATTTGGTGACTTAAAATTCATGCCAGGTGCATGTGTGCATGCCGGAATCCCAAGAGGAAAAGGGAGAAGAGATTGTGGAATGGTCACCCCCCCCGCAACCCTCAGGGATGAGTGTGATTTCTCACTTTTCCTGCCTCTCTCTCTGTCTCTCTCTCTCTCTCTCTCTCTCTCTCTCTCTGTCTGGCAAGCACTGCCCCCCCCTCTCTCTCGCTCTCTCTGTCTGGCAAGCACATATACCCTATGGCAAAAACCTAAAAAAAGGAAAAAGAAATAGCAACTTACAAAGATTGTGAGACTCAGAGAAAAAAAAAATGTTAATAGTAGACCCAAGAACTAGACGGAAAAATGAAAAGATACACATTCGTCCCCAGGATCTACAGAAAATTCTAGCTAAAGAAGGCAAAAGTGGGGTTGGGGTGCCCAGGGACAACTTATGCAGAATGAAAAGAAGTAGACAGCCCCCCAAGAAGAGCTTTAGTGGACCAGTGGCGAGCACTGCTCTGCAACGCTGGAAGGTATGCGGGAGGCAGGGCCCAGCTCCCAGGTCACCTTACGCACACTGGCACATGCCCGTGATCCCGGCTGGCTGAAAAGGCTGCGGGTGTGTGCTTGTGAGGCGGGGGGCAGTGACTTGCAGCATGAGGCCATGTTGAGGGTGCTTATCTCTCTCTCATGAAAGATAGAAACCTAAAAAAAATTTATTTTTTCTATAGAAAGGACTGATTCACACTTGCTGAGTCCCACCTGAGATTCAGATGGTGTTCAGATGGCAGTGTCAGTGCCACTTCCTGAGAGAAGTTTCTCGGGTCCACTCAGTGTGAAGTGGCCACCAAGCTGCTCTCTACCACGTCATCTTTCTGTCACTCTTAACAGCACTCGTTATTATTTGGCATTTTTCTTTATTTTTCACTGCCTCTCTCTATCACCTACCTCCAGCTCCTTCCCCACTAGCATGTAACCTCCTTGAGGGCAATGACTTGTCCTCATTTCTTGTCTGCCTCTCATCCCTAGAACATAACCCCCAAGGCTGCAGGACTTTGCCTGGTTATGTAACGTGCATCTTACTCCAAAGGCCTTGCGCATGATACAGGCATTCAATAGTCCAGTGAATCTTTTTTAAATAAAAGAACTATCTGAAGAAAACACGTTTCTCTTTACCAAGCTTGCATTATGATAAAGCATTAAAATTTTCCCCACGAGTTAGGGCAAAGGCAGGTACATGACCCCATTGCAGGGACAGCCTCCATTTCCAGTCCACTGGGGGCAACAAGATTAATGGCGAAGGTGGAATCGGAAGTGTCTCTTCCATGCAGAATGGTGATATGGGTGTGGGAAGATGCTGGACACTGTAGGGTGAGAAAGCAGCTCCCTTCCCACTCCAGGGGACAGGAAGAAATGCTGAAAGAGACATCGCAGGAGAAGCATTTGCAGATTAAATAACGCTATAATCCTTTAAGCCTGACAAGAGCGTTTTGGATGTGTGATAGATTACAGTTATGGTGAAATGCACCATGAAAATATGCCTCCCATGTTACCAGATGTCTTCATGAAGTTGGTAAACATCAAAGATTTATCTTAGCCTTTTGTTATTTCTGTCTCGAATACTTATGCCTCTTGGCTACATTATGATTCTGGGAAAGACTAAAGCAAAGGCATATAATAATTTTCAACTCAACATATTTAATGTTAGCATTTCATTAGTGATTTAAAATAGATTCCTTTCAGAATGTGTAAAGTATAACAAATACATACCCATTTCAGGATCAACAAAATAGAATTTCATAGCAGAGGATACTTTTTTTTTACACTGTGAATAGCAATGTTCTACGTTGGAGCAAAATAGCTTTAGTAAATGATGAACAGTAAAATAAAGAGGATTGTTACATCAAAAAATAAATTCTAAAAAAATAACTTATATCCTGGACGTTAGGTAGTCTCCATGGATAGAATGATCATATGATTTATTATCTAAACGGGATGCTGTTCAAATCCCAGACCTTGTGGCTTGAAAAACACACTGGACACGTGAGTGTGCATGCTGAAAATCCCAAGAAGAGAATGGAGAAGAAGGGATTACAGTGTGACCATTTTCCGTGGGGGATGCTTTCTCACTTTTCCTTTCTCTCTGTCTCTCTTCAGCAAGTGCACATGTCCTATAGAAAAACCAAAAAAAAAAAAAAAAAAAAAAGAGGCAAAACTAAACAGCTTGCTCATGTGTAAGAAGTCCCATTTTTTCTGATTATCTGCTCAGTTTGTTATAATAAAATTAATAAACCTGAGTATAAATTACAATTGTTGACAACTGTTAGAGAAGAAAGATTCAGTAGGTAACCCACCCTATTTTCAAATTATTCTGACCATAGAAAATTTTTTCCTAAACCGTAACAATTCATCAACATAGAGAAGTCTGTATGGTATCATTTCTTGGTTTAAAATATGCATTTAAGATTCTTTTTTTTTTTTTTTTTGAGAGGTTTTTTGCTATAGTGCACGTGCGCTCGCCAGACAGAGAGAGACAGAGAGGCAGAAAGCAAGAAATCACCCCCCAGGGGGGATGGCCACAGCACAATCCCTTCTCCTTCATTCTCCTCTTGGGATCTTGGGCACGCACGCACACGTGCCCAGCGTGAGTTTCAAGCCACTGGGTCCGGGACTCGAACCATGGTCGACTATGTGGGAGTACAGCGACATAGCCATTACGCTAACTGCTGATCCCTGCATTTAAGATTCTTAAGATCTTTCACTTCTCAATATCGACCTGGCTGGTAGATTTCATCTTTTGTCCCAGTTCTTATTGACGATGGCCATCAGGAGCATAGGTCGATAACGGTTCTGAGGCCACCAGCACAAAGGCATTTGGTGATCAGCTAGCAATGTCTGCAGGAGACATTGGACTCCAGGCAATGGCAGGTGTGGCAAGTACTTGCCATCCCAAATTTGGACAAATATCTGTTTTGACTATCATTTTCTGACATATATCTAATACATAATTGATAACAAAACAAAAAATAATTACATCTTGTTGATCTACTCTCTCTCATGGATTCTACTGTGGTGCAAATAATATTCCAACTATGCCATAGGAGAACAACACCAGCACTCTTCGCTTGAATGAAGACAGCAACTTTAGAGTTTCTGTACATTATTCTTTTTTTTTTTTTGGAGAGATTTTTGCTATAGGGCGCGTGCGCTCGCCAGACAGACAGAGAGACAGAAAGTGAGAAATCACCCCCCGGGGGGATGGTCACACCTCAATCCCTTCTCCTCCATTCTCCTCTTGGGATCTTGGGCACACACGCACACGCGCCCGGCATGAGTTTTAAGCCACCGGGTCCAGGACGCGAACCACGATCGACTATGTGGGAGTCCAGCGACATAGCCATTACGCTAACTGCTGGTTCCCTGTACATTATTCTTGTACAATTCTTTTAGCTGAAATCACACTAAGAGAAAATCCAATCCCTACTACCTGAATGGAAAGTGGAAGAAAAAAAAAAACACACAAACATGGTAACTGTTCCTCTGATTCTATTCTTTATTTGTTGTGATATTTGGCACTATATATTTATTTAAAAATTAAATTTTCTGGGACCAGCAGGTGGCATGGTAGTTAAGGTACTGAAGTCTCACATAGCCAACCATGGTTTAAGTTCCGGACCTGGTGGCTTGAAAATCACGTGGGGCACATGTGCATGCATGCCCAAAATCCCAAGAAGAGAATGGAGAAGAAGGGACCGCAGCATGGCCTTCCTCCCTGGGGGATGATGTCTCATTTTCTCTCTCTGTCTCTCTCCAGTGATTACACATACTCTACAGCATAAAACTTAAAACTTAAAAATTTTTTTTGTTTCTTCCTTTGCAAACAAAGTATTAGTATTTCTACTTTAAACTGTTATCAGCATTTATTTCACTACCACCTATTCTGTATTATTTTTTTCTTTAAACAACAGAGTTGTTCTGCATCTTTTAGTGAGGTAAAATAAAGAATGGCTGATAACTGAAAAAAAATGCAGAAAGTATCCTTAATATTACTCCTCTTTTTATGACCCTAAGAGCTTTTCATTTTTGAATCTCAATTCTCTAAAGTTTAAAAATGAAGCGGAATTAGATTTTCAGTAAGAGGAAGCTCCAACTTCCAATTGCAAAACCATCTTCCCATATTGATTTTGACCACATAACTCTACTTTTCTAAGGGTGAAATCCTATTGAAGTGGTTTTCCAAAATATTTTGTGGGAAATAAGGATTAATAGCTGGCAACTCCTCATTCACGATCCCCAAGCAGGAAACCAATTCATCCGATAGCCAGGTCTGTCCTGGAATAGTTTCACTGGGTGAGTCATTTTCCAAGAGTGTAGTAGTTTCCTCTGCTGAGTTTCGTCTTGCAGAAGGACTACAGTCTTCTAGATTTAGAATGAGGTCTAATTCTTCAAGAAATGGTGAGTTGCTTAGCAAATTTATACTTGAAATAGAAAAAGCAAAATTAGGATATTTTTTTAATCTGGCATTCTTTTCCAGGTTTAAGGAATCAGCCGGTGGTTTAAGAGTTGAGGAAGTGATGTCATCATTGTTGCTGAGATGGTTTTCCCCGGGGAGAAGATTTGAAATTTGGGGTTTATACCCAGCGTTGGGATCAGGGATATACACAACCGTAGTACTGGCAAACAGTGGATTTTGCGGGCAGTCTCCTGTCTCAAGGGATCCCGTATTCTTTTCCTGCTCGTAGTCAGTGGGTTTGGATTCTTCTGGGAGAAAGATTTCTCTTATCTCTGTAATCAGAGGATCAACATACAGGACCTGCTCACTGGAATTATGATTGATAAAATCACTTTGTTCCTAGGGAAAAAAAAGACATTGTTTTCTTTTACAAAGGACAGTTAAAGGGGCCAACTGGGTAACTGAATAAAGATTGAAATTTTGCTTTTCCTCAACTTTCCTTTTCCCCACCCTTTTCTCATACTGTTTCTCTTCCTGTAGGATTTCCTCCTCCTGTCCTTTGTTATCTGGCTCATTTCCAAATCTTTACTCATCTCTCCCATGAGGAGACTTAAAGGAGGGAATAATAAAAAATAATCCATGACTTAAGCATAGATCTTGGTTTAAAAGTTTTAACAGGAAAGAAGAATCTTGCATATTAACGTGTACATTATTTTAAGGCCTTTTCTAAGTTAGACTTTGGAACATGTCGGACTATTTTGTAATATTATGGAACCTTACTATAAGAAAATACCTTGTTGCTTACATAAAAGGAAAGGAGGAAGAGTTCTATTTTATTTACATATTGAGAATGAGGTGGTGATAAATGCTTCAGGCTGAAGTTCTCAAGGTGTGCGGCTGCTGACAATTCAAACATATCTGTGATACCAAGAAGGGTGGATGGAGGCTTTAGCCTGATGACTTCTGTGGGCAGTAAGTGGACTGGAGTCCTTCCAGCTGATGTCTGTTTCTCCCTCTCTACCCAGGGATACCATGATAGCCACTGAACTGAATGTGTCTCCCCTAACCCCACCCTATTCACAAGTCAAAGCCACTGTGATTTTATTTCGAAGTGGGACTTCGGGGAAGAAATTAGGTCATGAGGGTGGATCACACGTGAATGGGACTAGCGTTTAAGAAAAGATGCAAGAGGTTCTCTCTGCCATGTGAGGAGGCAGCTGTGAGTAGAAAAGCCCCCACTAGGAATCAAGTTGGCTGGCACCCTGATCTCCAGCTTCCCAGCTGCCATCACTGTGAGAAATAGTTGGGGTTCCTTGTGTTATATTATTCTGTCATAGGACGCCACTCCTTGGTCTATGGGACAGAAAACAGAATGTCATCTCAAGGAAATTCTTAAGTTCACCTCTAATTTCTAAGAGCTCAGAACAGGAAGAGAGTTTGGCAAGGAGGAAGATCTTGACTCTAGTGGTCTGAAGTGTCATTACGATTTCTCCTGAGGCCCAGTCTTCCCAGGGAACTTGCCCAGTTTTGCACGAGCTCTACATGGGGTGTTGCTTAACTGAAAGCTTGACGTGAGGAATGGCTGGAATAATGCTGGAACAGTGAGTGGGATTAGACCCAGCAGCTCTTGTGCTAGGGAACTTGGACTTGATTCTGTTGACCAATGTTTTGCAAACTTTAAATTAAAAAAAATGTTTTTAAGGATAGGAATCTTCTGTCAAATGCCATGAGGCTGGGGAAAGAGCAGATTAAGGGCTCATCAGGGCTTCTGACAGCACCACTTTTCTTTGTTTAACAAATACTTTGTCTTCCTACCCAACAGGCGGCTCCAGCCTCTGCTCACCTTGTCCCCTCTCCTTTGAATGCGCTCCCTTTCTCCCGAGTAATTTCTGCTCGCCTCTTAATGCACACCTCTCTACCCTCATCGCGTTTGGGCTCACTTCTGTCACTGCACTGACATCGCCGCTTACAGGCTGGTTGATGTGTTTGTTCTACTCACGAGGCTTTGAGGCCCTTGATGGCTCAAGCAGAGCTGGAAAATAGCAGGAAAGCACATAGTAGAACCTTCCCCTCCTCCATAACCAGCAAAATCCCTGGTATCCATAGGGTCTTCCTCGTCCACACCTGTTCTTCTTTATTGAGATGGAAACCTGGTCCCTCCCCCACCCCGGTGATAATCATCTTCCGCAGTCCTCTCAGACTTATTTTCTCTCCTTCAGGTCTAGAGAATAAAGTGGTGGCCAACCTCATGGCCTAGTGGTTAAGGGAGCCAGACTCCACAGTCCAACTATGCTTTGAGTCTTGGTCCTGGAGACTTGAAAAACACACCAGGTTCATGTGCATGAGTGCCCCAAATCCCAATGAGATGAAGAAATGGAGAAGAAAGGAGTGCAGCATTGGTGCATGCCATTGGTGGGGTGCTCTCTCTCTCTCCCTTTCTATCTCTGGCAAGGGTATACGCCTTCTTGCTTTAAAAAAAAATCAAGTAGTGCTTCCCTTGGGGTCTATCTCCTTTCCCATCTCATGGAAAACAAAGGCTTTGCACCTTCCTAGGCTCATTCCATTGAGCTTTCCTTCTCTCTTTCCATCATCCTTGAAGACATCCACCAATGACTTGGTCACCAAATGACTCTTGCACCGGGTAACCTATCTTCCACGTCACTTTTCTCTATGCAATAGCATCACTTTTCTTTTTTCTCTCTTTTCTCTCATCTCTTTTAAGCAGGATTTGAAATATTTACAGTTTTGTTTCTACACATGTATATAAGGGGGTCTTTAAAAAGTCTATGGAAAATGCATATTTTTTAAAAAACTGCATGAATTTCAAATTTTTTGCACCAAAATATGTTAGTACTTTTTTATTTTATTTTTTAAGGCTTTTGGCCATAAGGAACATGCACTTGCTGGAAAGAGATAGTGAGAGGGAAAGTGTGAAGTCACTCCCCAGGGAGGAGGGCCACACAGCAATCCCTTCTCCTCCTGGTATTTGGGATACATACATACATATATCTGGCATGAGTTTCAAGCCACCAGATCTGGGACTCGAACCATGGTCAGCCACGTGGAAGTCCAGTGTCCTTAACCACATGCCACCTGCTGGTTCTAATAAGCTAGTACTTTAATTCCATTTTCCAGAAACTTTTTCAAGTCCCCTCATTTACCATTATACTAATAGGTATGCACATGTATTTATTTAAGAGGAATTTCATGTTAACTATTAGACCGAACTCTTGGTCTCAACGGCCATTCAGATTTTGTTTGATGGTACTGGGTTACCTGGAGCATTTTCGCAACATTACTGTTTTCCATATTAGGAATATCTTCATGAAGCCACTTTGGCATTAGCAATACGATTTTCCTCTTAATTCTAAAAAAGCAAAAGCAAAAATGACACATTAGAAGAAGTGCATTACTTTAGAATTGGTACAGGCAGTCATGTAGGAGACTAGGAAGTCAATGAAAATGAAATATATAATAAAGCACAAACTCTGAGTCAGGAGCTAAGATTTCCATCTCTCTCTCTCTCTCTCTCTCTCTCTCTCTAAGAGAGAGATTTTTGCTATAGGGTGTGTATGTTTACCAGAGAGACAGAACGTGAGAAATCACTCCCCCCACCCCGCCCCAGGGGCGATGGCCATACTGGAATTCCTTCTCCTCTGCTCTCCTCTCAGGATTTTGGGCATGCATGCACACGTGCTGGCATGAGTTTTAAGCCACCGAGTCCAGGACTCTAACCACAGTTGACTACATGGGAGTCCAGTGACGTAACCATTACCCCATCCGCGGATCCCAAGGTTTCCATCTCTTACTTAAAGGAAGTTAAATAGGAAGTTGATTCACTATCTTTTAAGATTTTCCTCTGTTTCTATTCTGTTTCTTTCTAAGGAGTAGAAACATTTCAAAACACTCCACTAATGTCAAGATCATTGGGAGAACCACTGTGGCAGTGAAACTGGACACACCTTGAATATGGCAAACCAGTATAAGCAAAAGACGTCAGTGTGGGGAAACACTTAAGGGATATTTGGTAGAATTCTGAGGTGACCATAACCACAGAATATTAAAGAAGAAAACACTATACACTAAAACTCTGAAATGCAAGCTCTTAATTCTAAATTTTGTCATTATTCCAAATAGGGCTGTGATGATAGTGGGGGCTGGGGGACCTCAAACTTAATGTGAAAGCTGGGAAACTTACCTTGCCGTTATGTGGCACAGTGAGAACTGGGTTTTACTAAGACTGGGTGCTTATTAAGGATCACGGGGGTGGGGAGGGGAAAGAGGGAGAAGCCACAAACCTCCACTTCCTTCCCCAGCTACACCGTTGGCTGTTCCTGTGTTTAGAGGCACTTTGCCCATTGGCGATACAAACCAACTTAGGCAAAAAGGTTGTACCAAGAGCTTAGAAGAGCCTAAAATGATGTCAGACACATTTTTACATATTAACAGCGGGCCCACTAACAGACTCATTGATCAGACTCATGTATCTATGGAAGTTGGTTCTTGAAGGACTTTTACTAAGTAACAACCAAAACGGCTGAATGAAATTCACTAGCCCAATTTAACCTTGGGGACTTCAGGGTAAAGATAATTTTTTACACGTGTTTTTACCATGTTTTATGATTCTGTTTTTTAATCATTCACACTTTTTCTGTATTTAGAATTAGATTGGATTAGTAAATTTATGCTACTGTAGCAAAATTTTTATACAGCTTGCTGAGACAGTGAAAATATATTTATGAATATATCTCAGTCACCTATTCCTGGTGTCATTATATTTATAATGTTTTGCCATCTGTTGTCCAGCTTTGTATCTGAAATAAGGCTTTTATAAATAATGTACAATTATGTTAAATAACAATATCTACTCATATGTAAAATAGTTTTATTAGAATTATCTTTTATTTCTTTTATCTTTTTAAAAAAGTCACAAAGAATTGACTATTTTCTTGAATAATTAAACTAGCAAAGAATTGACTATTTTCTTATCTGTCATTACCAATTGGAAGCTAGTTTTTAGGTTACCCTTAGTAACAACATTATCTAAAATTGCACACTTATTAGAATATCTTTGGATAATAAAATATATATATGAATATTTTTATATTAGTTTGAACATTAAGCTATTTCAAGTATATTTTAAAACAATGTACAATAAAATTCCCCATTAGTTTGTTCACCGCATGAGAGTGTTGAGGATATGTTTATTAATGTGTAATTTAAGTTTTGAAATATTACTTTCTGAGGGAAACAAACCTATGTAGGTAAATCATATTTTATTTGGAAAAACGCATTTAAAATCTTTCTACTCATTTTGATTTTAAACTTGAGATAGAGAAAGATTATCTCACGAAGCAAGTGACGCCAAAAAAGAGACTTAGTGCCAGCTTGGCAAAGAACGCTCAGATGTGTCAAAATCTCCGAGTAATTGGATATATTAGGAGGCTGCCACGTTAAACAACTCAAGTCTGAACAGATGAGAAACACTCAATGCATCTAGTAAAATGTAGGCATAGCTCTTTACCAACACCGTATTGAGGAAAAAAGAACTGATTGAAGGAAGCCCAAAAGAAGGGGTAACTGGTAACCAAGTGGCAAATTTAAAGGTTGCCCCTCTTCGCACTGCTTGAGCTCATTTGTTTGGGTAGAATTGGGGCAGGTTATGTCTTTACCACCCTAAAGAATCCAGGCACTGTGGGTAAACTTGAATAAAAGCCTACGTAGCCAAGGAGAGAAGAGGGCTTTGATACCCGCTGTGTCTGGACTCCTGGCTCAGTGCTCAGTGGCCTGGGGCTGGGACTTAGCCTCTCCAAGTCTCAGTTATCTGTAAAGCAGGCCTTAGCACTGTCCTGGCGGGGTCACTGTGAGGGCTACAAGGATGGCATCTGTGCAGAGCTTGGCTCAAGTAGGTTCTCATTAAACATGGTCGTGTTCCTTTTTCTGAATAAAAATATTAGTAAGTAAATTTTTCTAGTAAGTAACAGAATTGACTACAGTTTGATGGTACATATACATGATCTAAATCAGAAAACAGAAATTCTACAAAAACCTACCCAGTCCGGAGTGATCTGTTAAATATCCCAATCAAAGAAAGAACTGAGAACGTAACAGTGAAGACCATTCCCAACAAAAATCCAACGTCTTGCTTGTGGTCTAATGAAAAGTAAGAAAGATCATTTTAATGAAGCGTTAGCGTTTGTGAGATGATGGAATAGTTATTCTCTCTACTCAAAGTGAAGGTCACTGCTTTCAAAGGAAAAGGGGAGGGGGAAGCAAATTCAACCTTTACCTGGGACTATAAAGTGACCGCCCTTCTAAACTGCACCGCTATACCCCAGGAAACGTTTTGCTTGAGGAAAGTGGGCTGCAGGTATCTGATGTCAGTGGGTTTCTAGAAGTGCATCTCTGGCAAGTGTGGTCAGCTTGTGCATGCGTATTTTATATAAATACATTTAGCAATGAGCCTCTTTTGGTTTGTCTGACACAGGTGAGAATTCCCAGTTGCTTGTACTGGTCTAAAGCTGGCCACAGCCACAACGCAGGTTTTGGGTTTTTTTTTTTTAACCTTTTGCACAAGACAGAATTTATTGCAGCTTGTCATCATTTTTCAAAATTTACTGTTCGTGAATATTTTCCTGCCGAGAAAGGACATTCACTCTACTTAGGATAATATAAACGATAAGAAGAAGTCTAATCCCCATATATCTTGCACTCATACTTATTTTTAAAACATGCTTTTCTTTTTGCATTTTGAGGTTGGATTAATCTCCTGAAATCTCTACATAATCAATATGATTTATTCAACATGTGTTACCTACCAGGCTCATCACTTCACTTTCTCCCTGGTATATGAAAAGCTCTGTTTTTAAATATAGAAGCTAGCGGAGAAATGACTTCTCTTAGTGGAATATGTTCTAGAATCTGGATGGGTGCTGGCCTCCCTTTCATCCTCCCTCCTCATTCCCCCCCTTCTTTTGCAAGTGTTTATTGGATACTAACCATGTAGTAGACACTGCATTGCCTGTCCTAGTTATATCTCAGCTGTGCCTAGTATACACTAGGCAGTGGGCGGTGGGGGGCACGGAGGGGGAAGTAGAGGGTGTCTCTCAGCTGTCCCATCCCTCTCCTAAAGCTAGTTGGCTATTGGTTGCAGGGGGTCGTATACCTTCAGCACACTCCAAAGTCCCAGTGGGATATGGAATTACTGTTTTTCTAGGTTGAAGAGCTACTACTGCTCAGGGCTGGCAGGTGGCATAATAGTTAAGGTGCTGGACTCCTATGTGATTGACCAAAGTTCAAGTCCAGGATCCAGCAGCTTGAAACTACACCGAGTGTGTGTGTCCAAAATCCCAAGAGGAGAATGGAGGAGAAGAGATTGCAGTGTGGCCATCCTCCAGCATGTGTGTGTGTGTGTGTGTGTGTGTGTGTGTGTGTGTGTGTTGGGGGGAGGGTGATTTCTCACTTTCTGTCTCTCTATCTTGCTCTGTCTCTCTGGCCAGCACACACGTCCCATGGCAAAAATCTCTCAAATATATAAATAAATAAAGAGCTACTACTGAGTATTTCAGGCAACTAATGGGGGTGGGTACTGGCTGTCATACACCCTCGGGCATTAGGGCCTAGAAGAGTATAGTACACCTTCAGGTTAACATGGTGTCAGCCAAAGAGCCCAAGGAATAAAGCAGTATGCCCAAGAACGTGACCTGAGATACCCAGGTTGGCACTGAACTCTGCCTATTATCAGCTGTCACCTTGCGGCCTAATTATAGACCTCCTGAGGCTCAGGTGGCCTCTTCTGTAAAGCAGAGATGAGCTGATATGAGTTCCTAGCCTCCTCCATTTCCACGAAAATCTCAGGGTGCAGGTCTGTGTAGGCATCTGCAAACAGGGATCTTTACTGAATTAGGGTCAAAACTGATTTGCATTAGGGTCAAAAATGATTTGCATCTACAAATTCAGTGCCCCCATCTTGCTTCATTTTTTTTTTTTTTTAAATAACACTTCTTCACCCCTGACTTTTCTTCTTGTTTTGTTCTTTCTCTGCTATCTATCTGGGGGGATGTTCCACGAAGACAAGAGCTTTGTTTACTTTTTCACTGCTATTTCCCAGAATAGTGTCTGGCACATAGGAGTTGCTTAATGAATATTTCTGGGACAAATAAAGAATATCAATGCAACCGGCAATTGATTTTTTTTTTTTGGAGAGATTTTCGCTATAGGGCGCATGCATTCTCCAGACTGAGAGAGACATAGAGACAGAAAGCGAGAAATCACCCCCAGGGGGGATGGTCACACCGCAATCCCTTCTCCTCCATTCTCCTCTCGGGATATTGGGCACGCACGCACACAAGCCCGGTGTGAGTTTTAAGCCACTGGGTCCGGGACGCGAACCATGGTCGGCTATGTGGGAGGCCAGCGACATAGCCATTATGCTAACTGCTAGTCCCCCAGCAAATGTTTTTGTACTGTCCCTGCCAGATTCCTATGAAAGAAGATAAATGGTCTATCGGTGGTCAATGATGAAATCATAATGCCAAAATTGCTTCCATTTGAAATGTCTGTTTAGTTATATTTGCCCATTGTACAACCTGAACTCTTTTTTAATGCCTAAAACATTTAGATACGCTCTTCAGTAGAAAAATAAAATGGGGACTGGTGTGTATAAGAGGAAGAGCACAGACTTCAGAGTTCAAAAGAATAGGATTTGGGGACCAGCAGTTAGCGTAATGGCTATGTCGCTGGAGTTCCATGTAGCCGGCTGTGGTTCGAGTCCTGGACCTGGTGGCTTAAACTCACGCCAGGTGCGTGTGCGTGCGTGCCCAAGATCCCTAGAGGAGAATGGAGAAGGGATTGCGGTGTGGCCATTTCCCCCTGGGAGCTGATTTCTCACTTTCTGTCTCTCTGTCTCTGTCTTTCTGGTGAGCGCACGCGCCCTATAGCAAAAACTTCTCCAAAAAAAAAAGATTGAGAAAAGTGATGCATATGAAACTCCTAGCGTCTGGTAGACCTTTCTTTTTCTTTTCTTTTTTTTTTTAAAGGAAATTTTTGAGCTCTGAGCCCCAGGACTTATTGAAATAAAAAATAAAAAGGTATCTAACTCATCACAAGTAGGGGCAAATTCCATCTAAATGACTCTTTAGCTTTAATTTTAAACCTATCTTCGTACTTTGTCAATTATTTTCCTATAGAAAACACATGGCATATCTTAGTGTTCAGCAGCTTATGCCTGGCATGCAATTTTTTCAGTCTGAGGGTTAAAATGGGTCATTACTAAAGACCATTCAAAAAGCCAAAGTGGTATTTTCTTACCTGAAGTGAGATGTTCTTTAAAGATGGAAGCCCTCAGAAGCCGGGAATTATGAGCGCCAGGCTGAGATGACTTTGGTGTGATCTGGGGAACTTACACAGAAAAGAGCATCAGCTTCCTCCATTTTGCACTCAGGGTTTCCAGTTTCCTTTAAAGAGTTTCTTCACTTGGTCGGAAATGATTAAAGTAGATCAGTAACTTTAATTGTTTTGAAAAATAGGAAAAAAAAAAAAAAGCAGTGGCCTTTGGGTGTGTGTCTTTTGTTCTAATTGGGTAAATCTCAAAGGACAATTAAAAACTACCCAGTGTTTGTAAAACTCCAAGGTGGCTCCACTAATTTCATTAGGCTTCTGAACAACAAATAGACAAGGTTTATTTCACTGAGCCAGGAAAAAAAAAAAAGAGGAAAGAAAAGAAGAATGAAAAAAGGGCAATAACTGGTTTCTACTTGGTTTCTTCCAATAGACGATGCAATAAAGTTTAGGTTTCTTTAAGAGCCCCCCCAAACATGTCACTTTTGCTTTTGCATGATCTTTGGGGGTGCTGTTCACCCACCCTCTCTTGGCTCCCTGCAAAAAACTCAGTTTTGATTAGCAGTCACTTTGGGGTTGCAGCAGGGGCTAGCGGAGAATGCCATTAATGACTTCTCTCTGCTCCTTTCCTGCTGGCAAGGATCCTGGCCAGCCCTGTCTCTCCACAAAGGCTGTCAGGACACTGTTAATGAAAGCTTCTGACCAGGGCGGTGCACGCATACTTGGCAGCTAACCTGCTTTCAGTCTAAACTCAAAGGAGTCCTGGAGTTGCCTCGCCTATCTCCTCCCTCCTGATCTTGAATAGCTGCCAGAGGTGACTTCAAGGGCACAGTTCTCCCAGGTGACAGAAGACATTTCTGAAGATGATTCTAAGCTCTGGATCCCTGACAGTTTCTCAAGTCCTATTTATTCAGTCCTTCTGTTTTCGGTGTTCAAGGTTTTCTTCTTTAAAAAAAAAAAAAAATTACTTTGGGGCCAAGGAGAAATCACAACTTAAGGCGTCCTTAATTTCACTGAGCTATCACAGACTTACATAATAAGCTCTGTGGGCCATGCAGCTCTCTTTGAGAAAAGGATCATACATTTGGAATGAAAAGGTTCCTATGGGTCTTTGAAATTTTTGAGAAAGGCCAATTTGGGTGCAAGCTCAGCTGAAGGCTCAGTTTCTAAGAACAATGAGTAGGGGATTTTAGAAGATGAAAACATCAGAAAAGCAAAAAGTTCTTTACTGTATTCTTATCCCAGCTTGTCTACAGCAAGAGCAGAATATTTCACTGTGAATTGTAATAAAGCAGAGATTCTTTCTGGCTTTCCAGTGATCTACTAAGTTCCTTTTTCTCCAGGTATGTGGTTTCATTAGACTCTGAGGGAACAAGGTCATGTCCTAATGGCCAACAGCTAGGCTTATTCATCTAAATTCATATTTTACAGGCCAGTGTTCATTCCCAAAGAACTCAAGCAGCAGTCTGTATCTACACTATTTTGAAATTTTAAGAAAAGTAATATTAAATTTAAATGTAATATAATTTTCAATTTGGCAGGATCCTAGGTTTAAAGCATATGCTGCTGCATTCTTTTTTATTTCACTTTTATTACTTTAATGTCAGGATTTTATTTAAAGAGGTTTTTGCCTTAGGGGGTGCTCAAGGAAGAGGGGAGAGGGAGAGAGAGAAAGAGAAACAGTGAGAGGGAAAGTGCAAAGTCAGGGGCATGGCCACACCACAATGCCTTCCTCTTCATCCTCCTACTGGGATCTTGGGCATGCACAAGTGCCCAGAGTGAGTTTCAAGCCACCAGGTCAAGGACTTGAACCACAGTCGCCCATGTGGGAGTCCAGCCACATAACCCTACGCCATCTGCTGGCCCCAATGTCAGTGTTTTTATTTAAAAGTAATAATAAGGCTGTCGGCTTGTAACACAAGCTAATGTAATTCTGTTGTATAAAGTCCAGGTGGTTATTTCACAACGAAACCTCATTCAGCTATTAATTCACATCATATAAAATCATTTTCATATCTGATTAGGACTTTATTACCCTAATAGGGAATAAACATAATCTTCCTTCAGAGTCTATTTGTTATCATAGTTTCAAATCAACCAGGTGCATTCATTTAAATTAGATTTAAATTAAAGTTATTTAAAAGGGATGCTTAAGTGTCAGAGGATATTTCACAATGGATCAGATATCTGAGGTAAGATAGCTTGTAAAGTTGTCAGTGAAGAAATGAAGCCATGACAACATTTTTGAGCTTAAGACTGAAAGGATACTATAGAGACTATATTTTTCATGGTATACCGCCACCAAGTGGCTAGATCATTTCTTTTTAAATATTTAACGTCTTTTTATTTAAAAGCAACAATTATAATGAAGAAAAAATTAAAAGGAGAAAAAAGACCATCCTTAAACCACCTCTTAATCTGCCTACTATTAGTATTTTATAATTATTTTCAAGCATTTTAACATAGAAAAGCTTTCACAAACAGACTGATGCACACCTACACAGAGCCTTGATGACTGAAAAATACTGTTTTTATGTCAGCTCTAGTCATCAGTGTATTGCTAGAAAAATGTGCTAGAAAAACCTCATATATTTTCCTAAAGTAATTGCAGTATTATGTCCATAATGGGACATTCCTGCAACAGCATGTTAAAGGATGAGTATTATTCTCACAGGACATACTTGAGTATTTCTGGAACAACCAGATCATCCTTCATTTCAGAAGCATCATCCTTAGGGCTATTTAATATTACATACCCTAGCACTGGACTTTAGATTTAGCTTTATGGAAGACAAATGTGTTTGTAGGGGAATTAGAGTGATTTCCAACAAGAGGTACAGCTTCTATTGTTAGACAAACTTAAAGCAAGGCATAGCTACATTCTTGGGGCCCTCAATTATCAGGTTAGTTTAACCAAATCTGTTCAAGAGGACCTTGTTTTAGCAATAATGTGTTCCATCTATTTTCTCTTCCTCCATTTCCCCCTCCTTTAGGGATTTGGGGCATGCACACACATGTGCCCAGCATGTTTCTCAAGCTACCAGATCTGGGACTCAAACTGTGCAGTTGTCAGTGTGGGATCCAGCTGCCTTAACCACCATGCTGCAGGCTGGCCCTTGTTATTCTTTTTAAAGTGAGTATTTAACAACTATTATGTTCCAGACACCACACTAGATTGTACATGCTTTCTAAAAATTTCATCCTCTCAACAACCCAATAATGTAGACAATACTATTGTCCTGATTTTATGGATGAGGAAACAGAGGTATAGAAAGGACAAATAACTTGGCCCAAATCACCTAGGTTAAGATTGAAGAATGGGGGTTGGCAGGTGGCATGATGGTTGGGGCGCTGTACTCTCATATGGCCAACCATGGTTCAAGTCCTAGATCTGGTGGTTTGCTTTCTCACTTTCCCTTCACTCTCTCTCTGTATTTCTCTGGTCAAATTGAAAAATAATAGAAATAACAAGTAGAATGAAATAAATATGTTTTTAAAAAGATTGAAGAATGGAAATTTCTATCCTGTTATAACATGTACTTGGTGATTGTCACTGATCCCATTAACAACCTCCCCTCCACAGAAAGATGGCTCAGGGTGAGACAGTGCAGTTAGCCTTGCATTGGCTTCACCCACAGTGAGAAGCTCTAGGCATTGTCCGCTGGGGTCTGGCCATAATGTGTTAGAACTGCCTGGCTCTGGAGGGCTCCAGACCCAGTACAGTGGGCCGTGATTGGGGTAACACATGTAGCACTGATTCTTCAAATCTTCCAGCCTAGAGTTATTTTGTTCCTAAAACCAACTATTTCCCTTGATTGAGCGAGCAATACATACTAATTATAAGAGGTTCAAAATTATAGAAGCTTATGAAAAAGAAAATACAATTTTGTATTTGCTCACAGACTAGAAACAATACATTTTGATATTTGTCAACAGTAGTTTCTGTATATCTGTACTTTAATGGAGATCTCAGTTGTTAATAAATGTGTCCTATTGAAGCAGGCCAGCCTAAGAGTTAGCAGGAGGGCAGCCATTTTGAAATTGAGAGAGGCCTCTAACAAGAACAATCTGACCAAGTGCTGGGTCATAGAGAGATCTGCTTGAGGAATGGTCAGATGAGAAACCAAGACTGAGTGTTTGAAGGAATCAAAATAATTACTCAGGGGAAACCGATGGACTCCTATTGATTATAGTAAGGAATGATTTGCACATGCTTATATCTTACATCTATACATACTGAAAACAGGTTGACCTTGTTGACAGTTTGCTAGAACTAGAGGCCTCTTTGTAACTAACTACAGAAATAAACTCCCTTCTTCTCTAGCCTCTGCCTCTCATTTCATTGTGATAAGCAGCCCCTTGACTTGGTTGGCTGGTTACACCATCTTTTTCATTCAACATTAATGAACGTTTCCTCATCTTATTAAAAATTGGTCAGAACATCATCCTTAGGGCTATTTAATATTCATCATGTCCATCCTATATTTATTCAGTCATCCTTTAATTGAGAAACTGTATAGCTTGGCAGTTTATCAGACACCAGCTGTGGACTCAGTGAAAATAAGTTCAAGTCTGGGCTCCACCACTTGGTGTTGCATGGCCCTGAGCAAGTTGCCCAACCACTCTGTGAGTCCATTGCTTCATTTGTAAAACTGGGTAATATATTCATCATGTCCATCCTATATTTATTCAGTCATCCTTTAATTGAGAAACTGTATAGCTTGGCAGTTTATCAGACACCAGCTGTGGACTCAGTGAAAATAAGTTCAAGTCTGGGCTCCACCACTTGGTGTTGCATGGCCCTGAGCAAGTTGCCCAACCACTCTGTGAGTCCGTTGCTTCATTTGTAAAACTGGGTAATAGCAGTGCTTTAAAGCTCATGAGATTTGATGAGATATTCCTATAAGGCATTTAATACATGTTTTATACAAATTAAAGCCTTAATAAACATTAGTTACTACTATTGCTGGAATTTTAGATTGGCTGTAAATTTTCCTTATTATAATTAGCTTTTGGATAAATATAATTGTATGTAAATGTCCTTTCCATAGTTATGATCA